CAGCTGTCTAAGCTAATCACCCATAGCAACAACCTGAAATCCCAAGGATCGCAGAAGTCTAACAACACCCCTTCTCTCAAGGTAGCAGGGCCTGAAAATCTTTTGGCCAGTTTTGGAGCCAAACCTCTACCTTTGGTCTTGGCCTCCTCCTGCCACAATTTCCAGTTTCCTGAGAAGGTACGCCAGAGCAACCACCACACTAAGATCAGAGAGACACACGCATCCCTGGGCACAAATGCAAACCCACCGATGCACTCTGCACTTTCTCCTCCTGTGCTCCTGGGTGAGTGCTGGCCTAGGGAGTCAAAGTATGCAGCTGGAGCAATTACTCCATGTTGTCTCTGAGGATCAGCCAGGGGAATCTCACTCCAGAGGCCCAGAACCTAAAAATAGTCCTATGACAATGTGCACAGTTATGTCTAACACCCACCACTGCGATCTAGACTGTGGCTCTAATAGCTGGCTCAACGGAGCCAGCAGGGCTGGGTCCTTTCAACGTTCTCAATCGCTATAGGCTAAGAAGAGCCCTGCATGCTTGAAGTCTGATCCTCTGAGACCAAAAGGGAGAACACAGGCACAGGGTGGGTTCCTTTGGTGGTGAATGCTGTTTGGGCCAGATCAATATGGTGGGTGCAGCGAGAAAGGGGCAGACAGTTAGCGTCTCTGTATTCTGGCCCAGACGTTCTGAGATGAGCAGTGGGAACTATTCCCTTAGCTCGAGTTACCTATGTCTGTCTCCTGGTGAGGAAGAGGTTAAGCTCAGAGGTGAATGTGCTCAAGGACTTGGGAGATAGCTTCAGAGTCCACACTGTATATACTCTCTTCTTTGTGACTTTGTGTAAATGACTTAATATCATTGAGCCTTGTGTAACTCATCTGTGATATCAGATAATAAAATCATGTGCTTCACAGAGTATTCAGTTTGATGCTGCAATGTATAGTGCCTTGGGTTCAGCAAATGGCAATTCTTAATGCCTGTATGCTACATAGCAAGAATGGAAGTAGCCTGGAACTCACATTCCCACTAATATCTACCACTTTGCTATTGTGTTTTAATCTCTCTGCTTGCTTACTCTCCTTTACCAGGTAAATTGAGGAGTAGGGAAGAGTTAGGGGAGACCCAGGAGGGAGGGTGTAGGGACCTGCATAGTCTAATCTCCTGAATAAAATATGACTATATCATTGAGGGCCACAAGCATTACTTTTCTGGCAAGTTTTCTATATCTCTTTTTTCTCTATCTGTAAAGAGTGGTGGCAGGGATAGAATCAACCAGTCCATTGTCACTGAATTCCTCCTATTGGGCCTCTCCAAGAGCCCAGAGCAGTAGCCTCTCCTATTTGGCATCTTCCTGGGCATGTACCTGATCCCTCTGTTGGGGAACCTGCTCATCCTGGCCATCGGCTTTGACCTTTACCTTCACACCCCCATGTACTTCTTCCTGGCCAACCTCTCTTTTGCTGATGCCTCCTTTTCTTCCACCACAATCCCTAAGATGTTGGCAAACATCCAGACACATAGTCAGACCATATCATATGGTGGGGGCTTGGCCCAGGTGCAGTTTTTCATGATAATTGGTGCACTAGATGACTACTTCCTCTTGGCCTGCAGGGGTGTCCAGCCCATGGCCTGCCGGCTGCATGCAGGAACTATGAATGCAGCCCAACAAAAAATCATAAATTTACTTAAAACTTTTTCTTTGCTCATCAGTTTTTGATAGTGTTTATGTATTTAATGTGTGGCCCAAGACAACTCTTCTTTTTACAGTGTGGCCCAGAGACGCCAAAAGGTCGGACACCTTGGGGGTGATGGCCTATGACTGCTATGTCCACAATCTGCAAGCCCCTTTACTGCTCCACACTCATGAGTCCTCTTATGTTTGTGCTCCTTCTCATAGCATGCTGGGTTCTCTCTAGCCTCACTGCCCTCTTACACACCCTGCTCATGGCTAAGCTTTCTTTCTGTGGAGGCAGCACCATCCATCACTTCTGTGAGGGTATTGGTGGGATTGCTTATGGAATGGGAGTACCTTGTGGAGGAGGATAAATGGGAGAAAAAAGTGGGACAACTGTAATACATAATCAATAAAATACATTTAATGAAAAAGAAATACAATAAAAATAAACTAAAATATTTATAGCTTTCCACATATTTCATTGTTATTGGTTTCTTAAAAAGCTTTTGTTTTTACTTTTTTACATTTATTATGAAATAATTTTAGATTTGCAAAATACTGAAAGAATAGTAAAAAGCATTCTTATCTACTTTAAAACAAGCTTCCTCAATTACTAAATGCAATTACCACATCAAAGTGTTATTGATAAAATTCTATTAAGTAATCAACAGACCTCATTTAAATTGTGTCACTTGCCAGTCATGTCCTTTTTCAAGTCGAGGATCCAGTCGAAGATCACACAGTGCCTCTCACTGTTAAAATTTCCTTTAATTTTGTGTAGCTCTTCTGCCTTTTATGACCTTGGCACATTTGAAGAGCCCTGGACAGTTAGCTATTTTGTAGAATGTCCCTCAGTTTGGGGTTGTCAGATGTTTCTACCTGACTGAACTCAGATTATAGCATTTTGACATATCATGAAAGTGAAATTATATCTTTATTATATCATATCAGGACATAAATAGCATTGGCATGTTTTATTAATATTGATGTTTGTTTTGGTCTCTTGGTTAAAGCAATGTTTGTCTTTTTTTTGTAATATATATTGAAAATATCTTTTATAGTGTGTCAGTTGTTACTTTGTTTATAGTGTTTCTTTGCCATGAAAAGTTTTAAATTATATCGTCAAATTAATCAAAATTTCATTACCTCTTGATTTTGAATGAAAGATGTTTTCTTCACTGAAATTGTAGAGGCGTTTACCAGGTTTCCTTCTAGTACTTGTATGACAAGTGGCAACCTGTTTGTCTCAGAACACTTATTAAAGTTGCAGGCAGTTTCCTGATACCAGAGTTTCACTCACTAGGAAAAGGTTAGGGTGTGCATGTCATCTTGTGCATTTTAAATGGCAAATGTTGCCCTTGCTGGTGTGGCTCAGTGGATTAAGTGTCGGCATACAAACCACAAGGTCACTGGTTTGATTCCCAGTCAGGGCACATTCCCAGGGCCTGGGTTGCAAGTCAGGTTCCCAGTTGGGGGCATGTGAGAGGCAGGCAGTCAGTGTTTCTCTCACACATCAATGTTTCTCTCCCTTTTTCCCTCCCTCCCCTCTCTCTAAAAAAATGAACAAATGAAATCTTTTATAAAATAAAAAAATAAAATGACAAAACTCAAGCTTCTCTCTGAGAGGGGGTGGAAAGGAAGAGAAGGGAAGGAAAAGTATGAGAAGGAAGAGGAGAGGAAAAAGAAGAGAAAATTGGGTATGATTTGTGTTTTAAACAGTATTTGCATATTACAGCATATGTATTGACTCTCTGCTAAGGACTTTGGATGTGTTATCTTTTTGAATTCTCCCAACAGCCTTAGATGATAATTACTGTCATTACTATTACTATTCACTTGTTTATATTTTGAAACTGAGACTCCAGGATGTTGATAACTTGCTGAAGGTCATACAAGCTGTGAATGGTAGATCTAACACAATAGCCCAGGTATTTTTGACTCCAGCATATGTCTTATTTTCATTAAAAAAACTATTTTAAAAACCTGAATATGTCAGCGGGAGCTCTGTAGAGTCATAATTATATAGGGAAGAAATCAATAGAGTGCAGTGCAGTTTCTAAAACTTCTCCTGTGGGTTATTGAAAAATCCTCTGTGGATTTTTCCTCTGTGGGTTGTTAGGATATATCCTTAGCAGCATCCCTGGGAAAGATGCAATAATAAAATTAATAGTTATCTTTTTAAACAATTTTGTTAAATGTATTGGGGTGACATTGATGAGATTATACAGGGTGGTACAAAAGTGGGTTTACAGTTGTGAGTACCCTAGTTATTTATTACTTATTAATTGTTGTATTATTTTTTATACAAACAACTGTAAACCTACTTTTGCCCCACCTTTTACAGGTTTTGAAGTGTATAACTCTACCATACATCATCTGTGTATAGCATTGTATGTCCACCACCCAAAGCAGGTCTCCTTCCATCATCTTATATTTGACTCCCTTTACCCTCCTTTTTTCTTCCTCTACCTCATTCTCTCTGGTGACCACCATACTGTTTCAATACAGTTATCTTTTAAAATAGATCTAAACATAGACTTTTGGAATAGTGCTGAAGAATGAAGGTTTATTAGGATAAACTTGGGGAGAACCCCAAATAATGTGGCCTAGGCATCCTTCTCTCTGATCATGTGGTTTGATTCCTAAGTCATTTCAGAATATCTAACCAGAGACAAGGGGGGGGCATGCTTCCTAATGGGGGACACCAGAATCTCCAAATCTATTTACTCTTCCATCCCCTAGTTTCTTATTTGCCTTGCCTCATCTTCAAATCATTCGCTAGTGTTGGAAGAAGTTATTGATTTGAACTGTGTATGTGAACAGTGTGAGGGAATCGAGAAAAAAAGAAAGCTAGTAATTGAGAGGAACATGTGGATTCGTCTATTTAGGCATAGAGTAGCTATTAAATGTATGCATTTTGGAATCAGTTATCTGTGTTCAAATTCTAGCTTTGCTTCTTATTAGCTGTGTGACTTCAGGCAAATAATTGAACCCTTTTGAACCTTTGTTTTTTCTTCTGTGCAATGCAAATATTTACTTCAGAGATACATACTGAATATTGTTGAAGGTAATGAAGATCTACCCATAAGACCTGGAACAAATACATTTACATATTTATATAGATAGTTTTTCTTCTAACCCTTTCCAAATTACTGCATGATAGAGAATAGCTTGTTACCTCCTGTAATGGGTGAGGAAATTGTGGCCCAATGAAGTTATTTAATTTGCTCTAGATTAGAAAGCTAGCAAGTGGCTATAGATACCAAGATAACTCTATAAGCTGATTTCCCCTGAATTCCCCAAATGATGTCTCTGGCCTCACAGAGATCACAGTGCCCTTCGGCTTAGAAGTCTCCCCAGGGCACTCTTCATGTCTTTATTTCTCAGGCTGTAGATGAATGGGTTCAGCAGGGGAGTCACCACAGCATACATCACAGCTGCAATCCTGTCCTTGCTGGCAGAATCATCAGTGGAGGGAATGAAGTACACCCCAATGGCAGACACATAGAACAAGCACACTGCTGAGAGGTGGGAGCCGCAAGTGGAGAAGGCCTTCCACTTCCCACTTGCTGATGGGATTCTCACAATAGCAGCCACAATGCGGATATAAGAAATTATGATTAGCAAGGGGATCAGGATGGTTAATGCCCCTCCCCAGTATATCAGCACACATTGGTTGACATAAGTATTGGAACAGGAGAGTTGCAACAGGGGAAGAAGGTCACAAAAGAAGTGAGGGATGATGTTGTCTGCGCAGAAGGATAGTTGAGCCAGGAGAATGGTGTGGGTTAGAGAGTATGAATGAGAGAGGATTAGGGATGTGATCACCAGCAGGATACAGCATCTGGGACTCATGACCAGAGCGTAGCGAAGCGGGTGGCAGATAGCCACAAGCCGGTCATATGCCATCACCGCCAGGAGGAAAACATCTAAACCAATGAACCATAGGAAGAAGTAGATCTGAGAGAGGCATGCAGCATAGGTGATGGTGTGCCTGTGGGCCAGGATGTTCGCCAGCATCCTAGGGACCGTGGTAGATGATAAACACAGGTCTGTGAGGGAGAAGTTGGCCAGGAAAAAGTACATGGGGGTGTAAAGGTGCGGATCAGATCCAATGGCCAGGATGATGACAACATTCCCCACCAGGGTGACCAGGTACATACTCAGGAAGATGCCAAAGAGGAGAGGCTGCTGTCCCTGCTGCTCAGACAGGCCCAGAAGGAGGAATTCGGAGACACTGAATGTGTGGTTTCCTGGTTTCATGCTGCTGGTATAACTAAGGAATACAATGGAGGATGGAGCTTCAAAAATTTTTCTTGCCCTAATGTTGTCTTGATGAAAACAAAGGCATAAAATAAGGATGGAATCAGGATGTTAATAGCTATTCATGGTCTGACCAAAACTTAACTCTATGAGTAATTATTATGTTCACTTTATTGATGAAGGAACAGAGAGTCTCCTAGAAAGAGACAGAGGTAAAGTTTAAATCTGGATATTCTGATTTTAGAGTCTTTGATTTTATAGTCTTCACTGATCTGACTTTAATGAATGAGGCACCCCAAACTAATTCATTTATTCATTCCACATTCAATGAGTATTTAGTATGTGTCAGTCCCTGCTATAAGTACCAAAGAAGCAATGGTAACAGATACAGTAAGGTTTCTGCCCTTGTGTAAATAGTATTCACATGAGAGGAGTCATCCATAAGCACACAAACAAAAAAGTGCTAAAATAAAAACAAAATATAGTGATGACTAGCAGATTACTTCAAATTTGTTATCAGCAAAAAACTCACTATGAAGGAATAGATAAGTAGGCACCACCAAAGAACTGGGTGGAAGAGTGTTTCAGATACAAGGAACAGTAAATGCAAACATGGGATGAACACAGGCATTTGGAGAAGCAGAAGACAAGTGTGGCTGAAGTGTGGTGAGCAAAGGAGAGTGGTAGGAGAGGAGATTGAGGAGGCAGGCAGGAGCAGATCCCATGTGACCAGAGATGCACATTCTCAGTACGGAAAACTGTGGGCATGGGTGTGTGTTTAAGCAGTAGACAGCCACTATCTGACTTATGGTATGGAAAGATCATTCTACTACTGTGGAGAGAAGGACTGTAGGGGTGAGAATGCAAACAGGGAGTAAGGAAACACATAGGGGATTCAGAGTGAATTTGGACTGTGTTTTAGAGAGCTTAGTGACTTGCTCAAGGAGCCATAAGTGGTGGCTCTGGGCTCTAAAGTAAAAGGTTTCCACTCCTCCTGCTGCACCCATAGAGGTACAAATAGTGAAATTCTCTGAAGTGAAAAAGGAAGAATTAGGTCATTTCCTTTATCAACAGGTGCTGTTCAAAAATTGGATAGCTGAAAGAATCAGAGAAATGATCTCTAGAATATTTCTCAAATGGCAGAGTCCCAGGAATGTCCTGGAAACATTAGGGGACTAAAAGGAGAGGAGCCAAAGATGTGGATGTTTCTGTGTTATCGCAGATAGTGAGAGAAGGAAAAAGGCAAAGGCTTCAGGGGCCACTTGCAGGATTGCAGATTTAGAAATCACTTATGATGTGTTTATTGTGTTCCAGTGATGGTCTGCCAACTAATCCATACAACCTATGTGCCATATTTATCTTACATTTTCAGGTCAGGAAACAGAGAGCTCCGAGAGACTAACCGACCAGTTTAAAATCATGTAGCTAATAAGAGGACAAGTAGATATTCAAACTAAGGTTTCTCTTCTACCAAACCTGGAACTTAGTCCATTATGCAATTCCACTTCCTAAAGCAGGCAGACCGTTATTTTCTCATGGAAACTATAGATATTTGTCAGCTACTTTGGGAACGTAACCGTGCAGTCAATCCATCCTTTAGCTGCCCCCATAGTGGGCCTAGGGAGCCACGTTTGTCATTTTTCACCTATTCAAATATTCCTTATGCCAGGAATGCTTGTAGGCACTGGATATTTAAAGTTAATCAAATAAGGCACAGTTCCTGTGCTTAGAGGCTAGTTTGGGAGACTGACAATAAGCAATTAAACAAGTGAACACATAGAAATCTCTGATTAGTATTGAAAAGGAGAGATACAGTGATATCACTGAGAAAGTATAATTGAAGGACCTAATCTAGATTATAGAGCTCAGGGAAAATTTCTTTGAGGAAGTTCAATATAATTCAATACCGGGATTAGTAATTAGCTACATCATGAATAGAAGAAAGGAGAGTAGGAATATGAACTTTTCAGCATATATGAATGTCCCAAGGTGGTAAAAGGGTCTGGGTGGTACAGGAAGACCAGTGTGGCTGGTAATAGTGAGCAGGATGATAAGTTGCATGAAATATGACCTAGGCTCTCTGGCCACAGGTGATGGTACCATGGAATCAGCTGATTCAAACAGGGTCAGGTGGGTTTTCTTTTCCAAACTTGGAGTTAGTGATATAGAGAGTTCAGCCAGTTAGTTTTGGGCTCTGAAGATAAAAGTTCATGTAGGATTTGAAGTTCAGGTAGAGTTGGGCAGTCTCCTAACCACCACATCCTTGCAAAACCCTTGTTAAAAGGAACAAACTATTCTGCACAGATATATCTGCACCGTGAACATTGGAACGAAGTCGGAGAAAGGAAGAGTCAAGAGATGTGGCATTTCAGAAAGACAGAGTAGCTGACTCATAATTTTCCAGTGTAGTTTCATTCTCTTGAGTCTTTTCCTCCATAGAAAGAGAAAGAATGACATAGTGCTCATGCGTGCAGACCCTGGGGTAAGACAAACCTGGGTGTTGATCCTGCCCCTGTCATCTATTAACTCTGGGCAAATTACAAAACATCACAACAATAATAGTAGCAACTGCAAGAAGAGTCAACAAGTATTGGCTGTTAACATCCTGCCAGGCACTGTGTGAAAAGTGCTTTACTTACCTTACCTTATTGTATTTTCACTATCTTATAAGGTGAGCTCTCTGTTTTTCAAATATGAAACTAAAGTATAAAGAGGTGAAGTGATTTGTCCCAAATGAGGCAGCTGGCAAGCAGAAAAGTCCAGACTAGAACCCTGGTCTGACTCAGTACTTACCCAGCTGATCTCAGTCAATCTCAGATGTTACTGAGCAGTGAGGTTCTACAGCCTTAACACTTTCCCTTTGGACAATGGCAGATTCACATCACAGTCCTCTCTAGAGGCTCTGCTTCTTCCCCTTATTGGATAGAAGTGTAGGCAACTGTGCAGTTGGTTCCTGAGGCCATAATAAATGAACCAAGAGGGCCAGAGGGGGCTCATGTTGAGAATATTTAGTAGTTTTGGAGGCCCCAGGGTTCTCATTAGTGGAAACAGAAACTAAATGTTTCTGAATCCCTAAAGAGAAGGGAGAGGGCACTGCTGTTTTCAAGTGGGATTCCTGTTCTACTTGCAGATGCTCAGAGAATGTTCCCCTAGTTTATCACCTCATCAGGCACCACTCTGAGCCTGCCACTGTTGCCCTGTTCACTTCCATCTGTGGCTGAGAGGAAGAACTTGGGTCAACAGATGGAGACAATGGGAATGAGACATCTCTTTTCTCATCTGAACTTGACATTGTCTTAGTCCAAGAATCTTAGCCGATATTTTAACCCTTTTGTGTGTTATTATCCTCATCAAGTGCAACCAGTGTCTTTTGTAGAACAGAAATTCTTAAATTTAATGTGGACCAGTTTATCCATTTTGTCTGATATATATATTTTGCTCACCATTTTGTTTGTGAGATTTATCAGTGCTTAGTATGTATTTGGTTTATTTATTTTCATTCTGTTCTATTATGTAAATATACCACAATTTTTAATCCATTATAATGTGGATGGGTATTTAAGTTTTTTCCAGTTTTGGACTAGTTTGAATAGGGCTGCTGTGAATATTCTTGTAAATATCTTTTATACAATATTTACAGAATTTTACAGATATATATGTTCAATTTTCTGAAGTGGAATGAAAGTAATGAAAGGGATGAAAATGCTGATTCACAGGGAATATATTAACAGATACTACCCAATGACACTCCAGAGGGTTTAGACTGATATATACAGTAGATGTTCTTTTCTGAAATTTCAGTTACCCAAGGTAAACCATGGTCTGAAAATATAAAATGGAAAATTCCAGAAATAAACAATTCAAAAGTTTTAAATCACATCCCATTCTGAGTAGTGTGATAAAATCTCACACCATTCTGTTCCATCCCACCGGGTACATGAATCATCTCTTGGTCTGTCCCGTGCATCTACGCTGCATGTGCTAAAATGCCCTGCTAGTCACTTAGTAGCTGTTTTGGTTATCAGATCTGTCATCATGATATTTCAGTGTTTCTGTTCAAGTAAGCCCTAGTTTGTCCAAAGTGCAAGAGTAGGGATGCCAGCCATTTGGATATGCCAAAGAGAGACCATAAGTGCTTCCTTTAATTGAAAATTCTAAAGTTAATAAGAGAAGAAAAAATCATGCTGAGGTTGCTAAGGTCTACAGTAAGAGTGGATCTTCTATGAATTTCTGAAGAAGGAAAAAAATGTGTGCTAGTTTTGTTGCACCTCAAACTGAAAAAGTTATGGCCACAAGGTATGATAAGTACTTAAGATGGAAAGGCATTTAATTTGTGGGTGGGAAATATGAACAGAAAACCTATTCTGATTGAGGGTAGTGTGTTGCACCAGGAAGCATTGAGCCTATATGAAGACTTCAGCAGGGGATCTCCTGGAACAGCGGACGCCAAGCTGTTTACGACAAGTAAGGGATGGTTTCACAGATTCAGGAGTGGTTGTGTTTTATCATCTCACATCATCACAAGAAAGGTGAGACAATAAGATATTTTGAAAGACCACATTTACACAACTTTTATCAGAGTATATTGTCAGAATTTTTCCATTTTATTGTTGTTAATCTCTCACTGTGCCTAATTTATAAATTAAGCCTTATAATAGGTATGTATATATAGGAAAAAACAGTATATATAGGGTTTGGTACTATCTGAGGTTTCAGGCATCCACTGGGGGTCTTGGAACATATCCCCCACAGATAAGTGGGGACTCTTGTACTAGCAATTGTGCCTAAAGGGGTCTTAGTTGATTCACATCCCCAAGACCATGAGTCCTTTTTCCTTTTTGCTCATTCCCTCTAACCTCTAACCCTCCACCCCCTTAGCTGTCATCCTGTTCTCTTTCTATGAGGCTGTCTCTGTTTTGCTTATTGATTCATTTTATTTATTTGATTCTACATATGTCTGAAATCATGTGGTATTTCTCTTTCTCTGACTGGCTTGTTTG